CAGAGACCCACTCCTCAGCCTGCCTCCTCTATGACTCACTTGAGCTGCATATTTCAGTAGCATGAAGGCTTGACATGAGAAGAAAGGAGTATTTCTTATGAGTGGGAGCTCTTAGGTATTGAATCAGCACTTGAGAAGTGTGATGTTCTTTGCAGGTCATAGACAGAGGCTTTTTAAAAAATGGAGAAGAAATTCCCGTAACACGAGAGTAACCATTTTAAAGGGAATGATTCAATTTGGTGGCATTTTGTACTTTCACAGTGCTGTGCAGCCACTGCCTCTCTCTGGTTCCAAACCATTTTCATCCAGAACAAAACCTCTTCCCCGGTAAACAGCTACTACCTATTCTCTGCTCCCTCTAGCCCCTAGCAACCACCAGGCTGTCTCTATGGATTTAGCTGTTCTGGATATTTTATATAAATGGGATCATGTAATATGTGACCTTTTGTTTGGCTTCTTTCAGCTAACATATTGTTTCTGAGGTTCATCCACGTTGGAGCACATATCAGTAGATCATACAGTTTTAACAACTACCCAAGATACCCAAGGTGGTACAGTGATAAAGAACTCACTTGCCAGTGCAGGAGATGTAGATGTGGGTTCGATCCCTGGGTTGGGAAGATCCCTTGGAGGAGTGCATGGCAACCCACCCCAGTATTCTTGCCTGGAGAATCTCATGGACAGAGGAGCCCGGCGAGCTACAACCCATAGGGTCACAAAGAGTCAAACACAGCTGAGTGACTGAGCACGCATGCAAGATACCCGGAGACAAACCTGCAGAAAAAGAGTGCTCCTTCTCGCCACTGTCATTTAAGCCCCAGTTTCTGCCAGAGGAAGGGGAATGAACTAGATTCATCATTCCCGGAATAAGCTGCATTAGAGACACCAGTCATATGTCTTTAAAAAATACCGATTCTTGGGCTCCACTCGGAGCGTTCTGCATCAGTAGGTCAGGGGTTTCTCTGGGGTTGCTGACTGTCAGCTCGCTGGGTGTGGGACCCCTGAACCAGGAGACCTCTCGGGGGCCATCTTGATTCTTAAAGACCTGCCTGTGATCTTAGCAGAGGCCTGAACCCCACGCACCATATTCTTTGTTGTTCATGAGGCAGTTCTTCTGTGCCCAGACCTCTGTGGCTTGCAATTTCCCTGTTCGCCTTCTGAGGGGAGGCGCAGGGCTCCCTCCCCGCTGGTTTTTACGGCTCCAATTAATTGTGGCTCATTTATCAAGCGCCAGCTACGCCCTGTGAGCTGGAGATGGGAGAGGGAAGGTTGTTCACGCCCTGGGGTGGTAGTTACAACTGACTGCACATCAAGGTTACATTCTGGAAAAGCCACCCTCCCACTTGCCCTCACTCCCTCCCAGACCAGTGTCTCCCTGGGCCCTGTGTGCCCACCCCTCTCCATGTGGTCTGTGGGACCCAGTGAGCAAGGCTGAGCGGAGTGAGCGGGATGTAGGAAAGCCTGCAGCTGCACCCAGAGGGCTGGGCATGAGGGAATCTCAGGGGCTGAGGCCAGGAGGAAATCCCTGGGGATGGAAAAGGACCTCAGCAAGCCAGCAATCACCCACACAGTGTGGGGATCCAGCCTGGACACCTGTGGGTGCTGTGATCACAGGGGAAGGAGAGGAGGCTACTCTGGACCTCTGGTTGCCTGGTTACTTTCCATGGACAGCCTATTTTGACCTCTTCCCTTTCCCCTGGGGAGGGACCGGGAGAACGAACGCCAAGGGGAGATGGAGAGGAGGAAAGTGAGACCAGAGAGCACCATGGTGTCTTTGCTTTAATAAACGTGCCAGCCTGCGTGGTGGTGGACTCCCGCAGCTGACTCTGCTCTTTGCTGGGGGAATATGCACGTGGGGTGCGGTGGGGGTCAGCCTCAGCCAGGCGGCGGCTCCCCGGAGAGTTACTCCTCTGACCAGGAGGTGCCCATGCTGACGTCTAGCTGAGGTAAGGTGCTGAGCTGTTCGTGTGAGTTGCCTGGTGGCGCTTGGACAAGCTGTTCCTTGCTTGAGATTTTTTTTTTTCCCTCCACCGTGCTGCCCTTTTACAGTCTGCTGTTAGGAGTGAAAGGGACATTTAATAAAATCTTTCCTTTTTTTAAAAGGTGTTTCAGCAAGCTCGCCTTCTCGGCTTTCTTTGTCTGAAAGCCTTTGGATGTTCAGCTGCCTCCTTTGTGCTGCTCTTACCCCTTCACCTCTCCTGGGATTGGTTCAGGGGCCCCATAAATCTCATGTCCGAGCAGAAAGACTTGCGTGAGTTGTGCTCAGAGCTCAAGCCTGCTCTGATCACCGTAGGCTTTGTAACCTGTTCTGAGTGTTATTTGATTATGAACCTGCCTGAGGGGCTGTTGGGAGGTGGCCCCAGTGCAGCGTTGCTGGGCCTTCTTATGCCAGGCCCTGGATGAACTTAGTGATTTTTTTCAGGCTCCAAGTCCTTGATCGTATTGACGTTTGCATAAATCATCTATTTATTCCTCTCTGGCTCTAAGGACGTTTTTGGAGGGAGGCCTTTAGCCCAAATTCCCAGGGCTCCTGCGATGGTGGGGCTCTTCTGCTCTGTAGATGCTTTCAGATTCTTCCTAGAGGCGAGGGCCGGCAGGAAAGAGGGGGAGAGGGTGGGCTGGGAGAAGGCCTCTGCGGCTGGTGGTGATTCCCGTCATCTCTGCTGATGTTTGCCTGGACTTTCCTCTCTGGAAGTCAGAAGGAGCATTTTGGAATGACATATTTTCCTTAAAAGAAAAAAATCTTTTCCTTTAAAGAGGCCTCATGTCACCTATTTTCCAAGAGCCTGGATCCTGGATCAAATTAGATGCAGGTGTTTAAGACCTGAAGCAGGGTGGTGAAGGAGTAGCTCCTTTGTTATTCTGTCAGCCAAGTTGGTGACACAGGTGTTTCCCTTTTCCCTTGGGACGAGGCATCTCGCCTGAGAGCATCTCGAGCAGTGGGGGGGTGGGGGGGAGAAAGGGAAAGGAGAGGCTGCTGTGGGTGGTGGGGGAGGGGAGCAGAGGGTTTTCTGCTCAGACCCTTGATGGGAAGACAGCTGGGAGGGCTCATCAGCTGGGGCGTGTACTTTGCATCGGTCCAGGAGGTGTGGGTGGAGAGGTGGGTGTGGAACTGTGCAGGTGGACTGTGCAGAGACCACTGGAGTTCAGAAGGTTGGTCTCTTCCATGTGCCCGAGACAAGCCATGGTTGAAGGGGCTGGTGGAATAGGCTTCTCCCAGGCATTGCTCCTGCTCCGGATTTTGGGGGCTTTGTCCTAAACGTTCACACCAGTTCTCAGAATTTTTGTAAGTATGGTCATCCGTTGGCTCTTCCCACCCGAAAGGGGTGAAATGGTGTGCCAGAATGCCAGCCCTTGAACTGTCCATCAGTGACGGGTGAAATGGGAAAAATAAGAGGAATGGAGTTAGCTTTCCATATATCAAAGCCTCTCATAAAAAACTGTTTGGTTCTGAGAGTCTGTCTGTCCTCAGTTTTCAGTGTTAAAACGTCCTTGCTTTGAACCATGATGGTGCTTCTAGATGGTAGCTGTATTGCTTGGGTGAGGGGTGGCCATGTAACAGGTGAGTCCCAGGAGCTCAGCATTTTCTGATTATGTGAAGTTCAAGATGAGCGGAGGAACCTCCCCCTTGGGGATTCGGGCTCCTTTTGTCCTGTGGCCCCATTCTTCTCTGGGACTCTGGGGTCCTGAATGCATTCTGCAGGTAGGGAGGGAAAACGGGGCTGTGTGGGCGCCATGCCCCATCGTAAGCCCTGGGCCACAGTCTGCTGTGTCTTCAGGAGATCCAGAGACCAGCCAGCCATGCCCTTGGCACAGGGGCGTTTGTTTTGTCCTTACCTGGCCAAAGAGAGGTGGCCGACCAGCTCTTTGCTGGCCTGCCTAGTTCATCTGCATTTTACTGGTTTACAAGATCCAGAAGCCTGAAACTACTATTTGTGATAAGCCAAAGGTCATTTCTGTGGAGTACTGGAAGATATTTCCTTACTTGGAATACTTCATAACTGAGTAAATAAAGCTGGTGTTTTTCCTTTGCTCTTCCTTGTTATAAGCTAAGGATAAACACCATCACCTGTAGGGCAGAGAGAACCAGTCTGGACAGGGATTGGCAAGCATGTGGTCTTTCTAGCTTGTGCCCCTTTTTTAAAGGAGGAAGGTGCTTCAGTGTTTTGGTTTCAAATCTGACCAGTGCATGTCCCATGTGTGGAGTAAGGATGAGAGGAACTAGAGGTTGATTTCACAAAGGACCAAATAACCCGAGTAATTAGTTATGCCAATGAGAGCCTGAGAAGATGATTTTTTTTTTTTTTCCAATCCGGCTAATACCAAATAGCAGAGGACTAGTGTTTCATCTTTGGGAAGTGAATCTGGTGGAATCAGCAGAGGCAGAAATACAGGCCATCCTGGCCCCATGCTCCAGGCGTAAGCATCTTAGGCATTTCTGAGTTACAGTTGTGGAGAGAGAGTCTTGCTTTATTATTATTATTTTTCCTTTTCTTTATTGGCCATGCCATATGGCTTACAGGATCTTAGATCCCTGACCAGGGATTGAATCTGTACCCCTCGCTGTGGAAGCATGGAGTCTGAACCATTGTTTCTTTTATTTATTTGTTTAATCACTAGGTCATATCCAACTCTTTGTGACCCTGTGGCCTGCAGCACGCCAGGCTTTCCTATCCTCTGCCATCTTCTGGAGTTTGCTCAGACTCATGTCCTTTGAGTCTGTGATGCCATCCAACCATCTTGTCCTCTGTCATTCCCTTCTCCTTCTGCCTTCCATCTTTCCCAGCATCAGGGTCTTTTCCAGTGAGCCGGCTCTTTGCGTCAGGTGGCCAAAGTACTGAAGCTTCAACTTTAGCATCGGTCCTTCCAATGGATATTCAGGGTTGATTTCCTTTAGGAGTGACTGTTTGGACCACTAGGGAAGTCCTGAGAGTCTTAGAATGGTGATGGCCATCACTCATTCTGGGTCCTAATTCCTGTGTTGGTTTGATCTCTTTCAGGTTAGTCTCAATGATTCCCACAATCAGATGGTGGTCCACTGGGCCGGAGAGAAGAGCAACGTCATCGTGGCCTTGGCCCGGGACAGCCTGGCACTGGCGAAGCCCAAGAGCAGTGACGTGAGTATTGTTGTTGCTCTGGCTGTCCCTCTGAGGTGCCAGGGCGCTTGTTTCTCCTCCACTGGGGTTGTTATCATGGCAGGCAAAATATCAAGTAGCTGAGGAATCTGGAAAATCCTATGTAACCCTTGTTTGTGAACACAGGGTGCTGCACTCACGGTTGCAGTGAAACCTGTGAGATGCGTGGTGACTTTTGTGCAATGGTAGGGTGTGCTCGGGGGCTTCCCAGGTGGCTCAGCAGTGGGGTGTGCCTGCCCGTGCAGGAGACCTGGGTGTGATCCCTTGGTGGGGGAGGTCTCCTGGAGAAGGAGATGGCAGCCACTCCAGTATTCTTGCCAGGAGAATCCCATGCACAGAGGAGCCTGGGGGCTACAGGCCATGGGGTCACAAAGAGTCAAATACGACTTAGCAACTAAACAACAACAGCAGCAAGGGTGTGATCTGGATTGTGTATCTGCTCAGCCGAATACCAGAAGTGTGTTCCTGGGCAAAGCTGCCCGTTGGCAACCGAACCCGATGGAATCGAATTGGTCTTGCCATGTGCTGATTTCTGCTAACTCGTTACAGTTGGACGAGTCCTTCAATCTGAATTGCTCACCCTCTTAATTTCCACAGTTGGCTCTTTACGATGTTTAATCATCTAGGTGCTTTGAAGACTTTAGACCAAGGATCACACACTCAAAGACCTGTGATAGGGGCCACGTAGGTAAGGGGCAGGGGTGAAGCTGCCCCCAGGTTTACACCACTCTTTACCTCTGAGAGGAAGAAGGGTCTCTTCCGTTATTCTTGAAGTCTGCAGCCTTCTGGGACGTTATTTCGTTCTCCCACTTTCTATAGAGATGCAGGTTCAAGAAACATTCTCCTGTATTGATTTGAACATGGTGTGTGGTGATGGATGCTTGCTTCTTGGTCTCAGTTTATGAGAGACTCTGGAAAGTGGGAGGGACTTTGAGCTTCTGGGCTGTTGTTCTCAGCTCTCAGCTCTGGTTGCTGTGCGGCTGGATCTGATTTTTCAAGAGAAATTCAGAGGTGAGGATTTTTTTTTTCAGAGGTGGGGATTTTTACGAGAAACTGCTGAGTCTTACAACTTGGCAGCTGACATATAGTTTTTATAAACCCTGTGTGGGCCAAGTAAAACATATATGAGGACCAGAGTGAGCCCTTGGGTCCCCAGTCTGTAGCCCCTGCTCCAGACACCCCCCACCACTTGTGGGGAAGAGAAACAGGGCCTGCCTTAGGTCAGGGTCTGACATGGTCACAGGATGAGGCTGTGGACAGAAAATCCCACTGTGGAGCTTGGGTCACTCTGCACTCAGGCCAGAGAAAAACCCCTGAAGAACTTGCTAGCCCTGTCCCATCAGCCCGGTGGACACGTTTGTAATTCTGGAACCTGGATTTGGTCTCTGTGAGGCCCCTCACTTTGTGTCCACCATCTGGGTTTGATATGCTCCAAGGTTGGGGACCAGAGGTGCCCCAGGGACTGTTTTCTAGTGGGTCAAATAGGGGCAGCCACCGGTGGAGAGGGCAGACGAAGGACTGGCCATAACGATGTGTAACTTGGCTCAGGGTGGGTGCCCAACAGTGGTAGTGGGAAACCACTGCAGCTGACAGCCAGTCTGGGTGCAGTGATGTGGGGCAGGGCTAACCTTGTCCGGGGCTGTGAGGTTGACTCAGTTATAGATTCGATCAGGGTTGGCAGGCACAGATGGCAGCGATTCGATGACGCTTGGCCCGAGAGAGTTTTAGCCCGCTGTGTCCAGCACTGTCACCGTCTAGTAGCGTCTCTTTTAAGCGAAGGCGGCAGCTCTCTGCCCTACTGTGTTGAGAAATCCTCCTTAGGGTATTTATCTTCAGAATTCTTTGTCCAGATGGTATTTCTGTTAAGACAGGTGAAGACCTATCTTTCTACTGTTTTGCTGGACAAACAGGAGCCCAGAGGCATTCAGTGATGTGCGTGGGGCCCCTCAGCACGTGTGTGGGAGGGTTGGGGCTATGACCCGATCATGTGCTCGGCGTGTGAGGGTGTAATGTTGCCAGGGTGACCAGCATTGGCTTTAGCACTGAAAGACCTACATCCTGGGACCCTTCTCAGTCTTGGATGAATCAGGAAGAATGGTCACCGTACATATATTGCCAGTCTATCCACATCTAATGGAGAAGGAAACATCAACCCACTCAGTGTCCTTGCCTGGGAAATCCCACGGACAGAAGGAGCCTCAAGGCCTACAGTCCATGGGGTTGCGAAAGAGTTGGACACGACTTCGTGTCAACAACATCCGAACCTGTTTCTCACTCTGCCTAAATATTTGGGTGATTCTTACTAAGGACCGATTGAACATTTGAAACAAGAGCCTATTCTGTAACGAAGTATACGCTAAGATTAAGTTGGAAGGAGACTTCATGTTTGGAGATAATAAATCAGGATGGCAGAGATTTCTCTCGTTAGCGTATCAGCTGCGTTAAAGAATTGGCAGATGAAACTCAGATGGTCTGATGTGAAAAGTTAATTCAAAAATAAATTCTGACTCAGAGGCAGGAGTAGGTGGTGCCAGAGTAGTAACAATCTAAATTTTCTCTGAAGACTGGAAGCATGGTTCCCAGGGCCCCATCAGCATCCAGAAGGTAAAGGACGTATACAGATCAGGAGCTGTGTGCGTGTTGGAGAATGGCCAACTCATACATACTCCGTGTATAAAAAAGGGATGATCTGGAAGTTTAAATCCCAGAAGATTTGCTCTTAAGCAGAAAAAAACAAAATAATATCCTGGTGAACTTGTGGCCAGTGATTCCGTGAAGCATGGCTCCTGCAGGACCCTTCTTTTCCTTTGATAAATCTGGAGATGAAAGAAAACCATAGGTGTTTTTCTTGATCGTCCTTGCCTCTCATTTCTGCATTCTCCTGACCTATTTTACCAAGTACCCAGTTGCCACATAATTTGACCAAAGAAGTTTCCAGAGATATTGTCCGCTAGATCGGAATCACCCAGCGCGGGCATCTGGAATGGTGGGGATCACTGCCCTTGTACCCAGAGCTGTGTGGCATTGCGGTTGCTGCCCCTGGGGACTGGCCGGGGAGCAGGGCCTGCACTTGCCAACGGTGCAGAACTTGGTAGCCTGTGTGAGCCGGTGTCTAGCTGAGCCCCGGCTCTGAGAACTGAGCGTGTGGGCTTGAATCCTGGCTCTCCCGTTCATCAGCTGTCTGACCTTCAGCCAAACCCTTCACTTCCCCTTGGTTTTCTCTTCCATCAATGAGAAATCTTGTGATTTCGTCCTTGTGAAATCTTGCTCCCCAAAGAGTGGTATGCTGATCGGCAGCACAGGGATTTTCTGGAGGATGGTGAGAAATGCAGAATCTCAATTCTCACCCTGGGACTTCCTGAATCTGAGGTTTGCATTTTGACCTGTGTCCTGTGGGGTGATTTGTAGGCATGTTTGAGAAGCACTGGTGTGAAGTACTTAGAACGGCACCAGACAGGGAGATATTTTCTGGACGTTTTCCTCTCCTTCACTTTTCCACTCTTCTCTTCCCCCTCCTCCTTCTCTTTATTATATAGTTTTGATGTACAGGAGAAATAATTTTAAAATGTTTACCTCAAAGGACCATCTTTATAGGTAAGACTGATCTAACTAGCAACTTTTGGCAGTTTAGAAACTAGTTATGGAATTAAGAGATACAGACTACTATATATAAAGCCACAAAGATGTATTGTCCAGCATACGGAGAATGTAGCCATTATTTTGTAATAACTTTACTTGGAATATAATCTATAAAAATATGGAATCACTATGTTGTCCACCTGAAACTAGTTTAATCTGTAGATCAACTATACTTCAACCGGAAAAGAAGAAGCCCCTCCTCGCTTTAATTCTTAGGGAGTTGTGTCCCCTCGAGGCCAGAGGATGAATTAGGGCAGAAACCTGTGTCTGGATCCAAAACGAACTGCAGAAGCACAAGGTGAATGCGCCTCGGCAGTTTGCCCTAGAACACCTGGAGCTCACTGTGGGCAGTGAGCCGGGCAGCAGCCTAGGGCTGCCACGAGGAAAAGACCCCCCGACCCAGAATGTACCAGCGGGGGTGCAGTGTGGATGCTATGAGGCCCTCAGCCTGCTTGTTCTTCTTATACAAACAACTGGCAGAGGTCCTTCCAGGGTCCTTCTCCTGGGAGGAAGGCAGATAGCTGTGCATGGCCCCTAGCTTGCATTTACCCTATTGATTCACTGATCAAATAGGAATGAGAATTGTGAGGATAGGATCAAAACACCATGTTGGAATTGTTTAGCCTGGAGAAAGGAAGGTTGATGAGCGGTTTGAGAGCCACAGGCATAGCAAGGACCCTCACGTTCCCAGTTGTAACTTCTGTTTGGTATAAGCCCAAAGGCATAGGGTTTGCTTACAGACAAGAGTGTTAAGGAGGGGCTTTTTGGTCGGGAGGGTGGTTGCCCCTCCACCACTAGTGGAGGTGTGGCGGGGAATCCAGGGAAGGCCCTGTGTTTTGTTCAAGGTGGTGTTTCTCCCTCCATCCAGCACTCTTTCCACTGCCTGGGCTGTAGCTTTGGTGCTCTTCTTCCTCTTGAGCAGTGAGACAGAGGAGGATGTCCACCCAGAAGGCTGACCTGTGAGCGTAGAAAGTCAGCAGGGCTTGGGCTGGGAGGAACCTGTCCTGGTTTTGTCACTTTCAAGCACCTTGACCTCGGACTTGTGGTTCATTTCTCGGAGTCTTAGATTCTGTTATCTCTTATATAAGGAAGTAGTCGTTCATTCGGTCACTTAAGGATGCATTCATTTCACTCTTGTTCATTTATGGAGCACATGTATTTACTCATGCTGTGGTTTATGACGCTTATTTATTCCAGAAATCTTCCCTGAGCACCTGCTATGTTCCAGGTCCATGGAGGACAGGAAAGAGACTCATTCAACAGGGTTCTGAAGATGCAGAGAGATGATGTATACAAAAGGGTGTGCATATGTGCATGCTCAGTCACTTCAGGCGTGGCTGACTCTTTGCAGCCCCATGAACTGTAGACTGTCAGGCTCCTCTGTGCATGGGATTCTCCAGGAATAATACTGGAGTGGGTTGTCATGCCCTCCTCCAGGCGATCTTCTTGACCCAGGGATCAAATCCCCGTCCCCTTTGTCTCTTGCATTGCAGGTGGATTCTTTACCCACTGAACCACCTAGGAAGCCCATACAAAAGAGTATTGTTACTGAAAAATGCCGCCCTGATATGAACTTATTATACTGGTGTCTCTGAGAAGGTGACTCTTAGTGGACTTTCCCTTTAGGGGATGCTGGGGCTAGAAGGGGCCTGAGCTCCCTTTTGGAGAAGCCGGCAGTTTGCTCCGTGTGACTTTGAGTGTCACAAGGGACCCTTCTTTCTGTTCTCGGCCTGGAGGGTGCAAGTGAGAAGGTACCGCTTTCTTCCAACCTCTCAGGTGATCTGTGAGCTCTCAGGCTGCTGACTTTTGGAAGCTGTTTTGGCAGCAGCCCCTTACTGTGTGTTTAGTAGCTGGGATCATGTGCTGTATTTAAGCGTGTGTGTTTGTAACAGGGATTCTTCAGATACTGGCAGAGACTCTGTGCTCTTCCAATCTCAACATCTAATAAATATTAACGACCCACGTGTGTGCTCAGTTTTCTTCGTACAAACCTCGTGTCATTCATTGTTCACTGGGGGCATTGTTCGCAAGCAGTGATGCATTCACACGCCCGCGGTGTGAAGGGCCATGTCCTTGTATGCCTGGTGTCTGGCACAGCACCTGGCTCACGCGAAGCCCTCGGAACGTGTTGCTGCTGAAGTCAGTGGGGTTCATCCCGAGTTCCCACGCCTTCCTGGGCCTCACCTGTCCTTTATCTTTAATGCTTTCCCCAGTTCTGAGTCAGTGTTTTAGTATTACCTTCATCTGTCAGGCTCCTTTTTAACCCACTGATTATATTAATTTCTCAGTGAATGGGGTAGGGAAGTCTAGGGCCAGAATATCTGACAGAATCCATTTCTCCCATCTGTGTCTGGAGGTGGGACGGCTATCAGATTTCTGGCTTTAGAGGCATGCAGCCCGGGTCCGGGTGCCGCACTGCTACTTACTTTGTGACTTTGGCAAGTGACTCCTCTCACCAGCCTCTGTTGCCCTGTCTGTAAGATGGTTTTAATAATTGTGGTTGCTGTGGAGGGTGGGGGCGAGAGCTCTCTGAGCTGATTGTGTGAAGAGGGTGGCGCACGAGCTACCCTTCTGTTTCATAAGCTGTGGTTACCGGGGAGCCGGAAACGTGGAAGCAGCAGAGAAATAGATACCATTGGCACCTGCACAGACCTGATTGCTATTCCCCTAAACTCAGAATCAGTCCCCTCTGTTACAGGGTTAGACGACGCGGGTGCTGGAGGTGGGATTCTGGGACCCTGTATGCAGCCTCCATGCGTGTTTAGTCACTTAGCACTGCCCTCTTTTTTTTTTTTTTTTTAAATCTCTGGGGCTACTCTGTGAAAACCTATGAGGGTTTTTTAAAAAATCTTCTGGAATGCTGTAAGGACAGAACTTCCCAGCAGAGGGACGAGAATTAGATTACCTTTTGGGGACATTTCAACAGATGGCAAAACAAATTCTCAATCCCTTCCCCTCAGTCAACCACATTCTCCGGTCTGGGCCTCTGGATGTAATTTGTTAAAACACACAGCCTGGCCGTGGTAAGGAGCTTATCATGGTTGCTGTCCACACGTCTCCCCTCCAGGGAATCTTTGTGGCCTCAGAAAAGAGGCCACCAGCTTGGGGACAGACGCAGGGGTCGTCTACTTCTTCTCGGTGGGCTGTCTTCACGTCCGTGGTTTCATGGCATCGGGGACCCATCAGGCCCCGCATGCAAGATGCTGGGGGGCGTGTTCGCAAGCGGAGACAGAGAGAGCCACCCTGCTGCCACATCTCTCACTGATCCTTTTCTTCCTTCTCCCCACTTTCTTCCAGGCATACGTGTCCTACGACTACGGAAGGTCGTTCAAGAGAATCTCAGAGAAGCTGAACTTTGGGGAGGGGAACAGCAGTGAAGCTGTGGTTGCCCAGTTCTACCACAGCCCCGCAGACAACAAGCGCGTAAGGATGTCACCCCTTATGGTTGTGTAGGGCTGCCTTTGGGGGCCAGGCCTCAGCTAGAGGCTGGCTGGGAGATGGGACTCTTGGGGCATCTTTGCAGCCTGACTGAGGACTGCTTTTCTGCTCACCTGGGAGTCGGTGACAGAATGTCACTCTCAGGGCGGGACCATGCATAATCAAGCAGTCGGGGTTCCTGGCCAGGCAGGATTTCTAGACAAACAATGGCAGGTTAAAGCACAGAAAATCTGACAGCTGCCAGATAAATTGCCTGACTCATAGGTGGCAAAACCCCAGATCCACCGGGACTTGCACTGAGGTCTAATCTAGGTCTTCCAGGGTGGCTGCCAAAGTCTTGGTTTTATGGGCATCACTAGTGTGTGTGCACACGTGTGTTTGTGTATCTGCACTGCCTTCCCTCCAACCTATACTGGGTCTGGAAAGGAAAACCAGGGCAGCTGATACTGCCGGTGCTCCTGATTTGTTTTCCCAGCTGGCTGGCTCGGGGCTGTGGTGCTACAGTGGTAGCTGGGCAATTTCGTTTGGAGGAAGCCTTGACTTGAGATTGCTTTGGGCCCCAGAAAGGAAGGGGTGTGTGTGTGCAGGCGTCAGGCAGCCTCTGGTTAGGTAGCTTTAGCTCGAAGACTTGTCTGTGGCAGCTTTCTTCCCCACTCTAGTGATCCCCCACTCATTCCCAGGATAGGATGGCTGGCTGCTTTGAAGGATGCTGAAAAACTAGCCCCTTAGCTGCAAAAGTTCAGGAGTGGGTAGCTGCTGCTCTCTGCTCATCCAGGAAGGAAGGAGAGTGAGAAATCCACAGGGTCCTCTGACCTGGTCCCCTGCCCCCCCCCACCCCCCCGCCCCCCTCCCACCTCCCCCTCAGTGCTGGCTTCTCAGGTTGCCTGTGGTTTGTGAGCTGGGGCTGTATTCAAAATATTTAACCACTGGAAGGGCACTGACCAATCGGACAGACTGGATCTGAAGGGAGCTGGGTCCTGAAGGCCACCCTGCTGAGCCAGGCATTAACCTTTCAGTTGCTGGATTGTGGGCAGGTCCTGGGGAAGGGGCCAGGCCACTGGGACTTTAGACAGGGCCTCTCATGGGTTTAAATGGGCTGATTACTAACAGAAGCAATTGTGTTTTTGTTTATTTAATTTCTTTTTTAAATTGAATTTTAGTCGATTTACAGTGTTTGTTGTGCCAGTCTCAACTGCACAGCAAGAAGCAATTGTGTTTTTATTTTAATTATTTTATTTAAAAAATTGAAGTATAGTTGATTTACAGTGTTGTGTTAATCTCTACTGTATAGCAGGAAGCAATTTTTTTTTAAAGATTTTTTTGATGTGGGTCTTTTTTAAAGTCTTTGATGAATTTGGTTGTAATATTGCTTCTGTTTTCTGTTTTGGTTTCTTGGCTACGAGGCATGTGGGATTTTAACTCCCTGACCAGGGATCAGACCCACAACCCCTGCTCTGGAAGTGTGGAGTCTTAACCATTGGACCTCCAAGGAAGTCACAGCAGTTGTTTTGTTTTGTTTTTTAAAACAACTTGAATAGTTACTACTGGTACCCACTAGTTGGTATCAGCCTTGCCTGCTGATCCTTGCATTGCAGGCAGATTCTTTGCCATCTTAGCCACCCAGGGAAGCCCTCTGCCTGATGATCTCAAAGTTGAGGGGCAGTTAGGACAGATGCCCCTCTAACATGACTCCAAGATGACAGAGAAACCTGGAGAAAAGCACATAAAGGTGTTGAAGGGAGTTGGCTGCGTGGTTAGGATGGCAGGCTTTCTGTGCCCAGCCCCCACTGCTTTGGGGTCAGGCAGGCCAGGGGTTGCAGATTCCCAGCACCTCGAGTGATTGAGGAGCCCTGCCTCAGGCTCCAGCTCCCTTCCCTGTCTGCATCTCCTGAGGATCCATCTGTGCGCACATCCCCCACCTCCGCCTGCCTCTCAAGAATCATTCAACACTTGGAATAATAATCTCCTTGAGAGGTTGTATGTATCTAGTATTGTTATTACTATTGTTACTACACATTGTCCGAAAGTTGTTTTTGTTTAGTCACTAAGTCGTGTCTCTTTGCGACCCCATGGACTGTAGCTCAGCAGGCTCCTCGGTTCATGGGATTTCCCGGGCAAGAGTACTGCAGTGGGTTGCCATTTCCTTCTCCAGGGCATCTCCCTGGACCAGGGATTGAACCTGTGTCTCCTGCATTGGCAGCTGGATTCTTTACCACTGCTGAACCACCAGGGAAGTGTTGGTGTGTATTAGCCTTTCAGTCGTGTCTGACTCCTTGTGACCCCATGGACTGTAGCCCACCAGGCTCCTCTATCCATGGGACTCTCCAGGCAAGAAGACTGGAGTGGCTTGCCATTTCCTTCTTGAGGGGATCTTCCTGACCAGGTCTCCCACATTGCAGGCAGACTCTACCATCTGAGCCACCAGGGAAGCCCAAAATTAAACTCTTGCTGAAGTTGTGGCCTTGAAGCTGCCTGGTTGTCCCCGTAGCGTCTTTGTCCTCAGCCCCGTCTCGTCCCCTCCTCACCTCCACCGCAGGCAGCTGTCTGTGAGCACGCTCTCTCCCTTCCTGCTTGTCTCAGGTTGTGGTGAGTAACTGCTAAGTCCGCCCGTTGGATGAGTCAGAAGACAGGAAGGATTGTGGGCCTGCGGGTGGGGTGTCAAGGTTGGTGCGGGAAGAGGATCTGGGGCCTTTGGAGCAGAAGGGGCAGGGCAGGAGCCAGGGCGTTGGGGCAAGGCGGGAGCTGAACCGGGGGATGGCTGCAGTGAAGGAGCTCCAGGGGCTGCGAGTGAGGTGCCAGCAGTGGGCCTGCGAGCTCAGAGCTGTCCCCGAAGGGCAGGGCTGCTTAGACTGCCTGGGGCTGAGCTGGGGATGGTTTGGAGTTGGTGCGGAGGGCTGCCTCCTTGGAGGACTTGTTGGCGGTTAGACCTGTGGCCCAGGGCAGGCTCAGTGAGGGTAGGCCTGGGGTTCCTGATTGCCCAGAGGAGACTGTTACCCTCCTCAGACCTCTCAGGGGGGGAGTGACTCTGACTGCTGATGACTTCACTTACTTTTGCTTTTGTGCCTTGGAAGGCAGATCTCCCCCGCCAGACCTGCCCCTTCCTGAGAAACATTCCCCAGGTCTAAATGCTTTGCTCCCCCCACCCTCCAGCCCCCAAAAGGTGCTAGGTCCTGGCAAGTCACCTGTGCACAACTGTTTTCACCGTGGCTGCCACGGAGGGCAATTGAAAATAGTTGAAATGACTGTTAACAGCTGCTAGGAAAGGTCAAGATGTCACGAAAGGGAACATGAAAGTCTGGGTGGGGGGGCGTGGCCTGCAGAAGGGGAAAGGTGGTGCTGCTTTAGGCAAATGGAGTGGCTGTGGGTCATGTGAGAGTTTGGGTCTATTTTCAAACCGGCCCGCCGTCCCACTTCCTTCTTTGTGGTCCCGTGTGCTGACGCCTGGACCAGTGTGTGGCTCTGACCACCTGGCAGTTCCACCAGCTTCTTGAGGAACCCGAGAGCAGTCAGCAGTGTCCAGACGTGTCTGGGCTCATTTAAGGTCACTGGATGTGCAGTCAGGTTGCTCAGCCTCCACTGATGTGAGAGCAGGTCCTGTCTTTACCCAGAGGGTGGTCCTGGGGGAGATGGTGAACCACGCTCTCTTTCCCTGGGTTCCCACCTCCTGGGGGTCTGTCCCTTCACTGCCTCCTCTGACTGTGCTCTTGGTTTCTCCACTCAGAACCAGAGAGAGTCACTTGTGCTGACACAGAGATGAATTCTGTACTGTCTTTTGTTTTCTTTTTGGAGGTCTTTGTATTTTAGGAGGGAATGTAGCTTTAAGCTAAAGGATGAAGCACCTCTGGAACGTTAAGTGATTGCAGACAGACTAGGAGGTGAGGATGGTCCTGAAGTTGCCCAGCCCGGGAAGCCCTTACCTAGTAGGTCAGCTCTGCTGGCCGGTCCATGGGGTCACCCGAGCAGACCTGACAGCCCGCAGTCCCAGGACTGAAAGCGGAGCAGGATGTTCTGTGCACACATGATAAGGTTACTTCGTAGTAGGAGGCACACATGCCTAAGGGCAGGATGGAAGCTGCCGGTCACTAGATCTGGGGATCGAGTGAGGTTGGACCAGAGACGTGAAGGCTTCTTGGGTGCTCGGGAGGCCTGGAGCCTCAGAGAAGGGCACGATTTCTGTAGCTGGAGCAGGGCTGGTGGGAGCTCTTGGGGAGGAGAAGGGCGCAGGCAGAGGCTTCAGGGTGCCAAATGTGGTTTCTCTGCAGGTGGGGAGGGGAGAGTTTGGACTGAATGGCTTCGTGATGTCATTGGGGCCCCATCTGAAGAGGGAGGAGCTTGCCTTCTGCCTGGAGGACTAGAGAGAGCCATGGAAGGGTCCGAAGTGGGGACTGTCTCTTAGGAACATGTGTCTGCTGACAGCTGCAGGATGGTCTGGAAGGGCAAGAGTAGAGAAGGGTAGCAAGGGAGACGGTGGCTAGCCTAGGCATGAAGTTGCCCAGTCATTCGACCAAACCTAGGATCACCCTCTAAGTGTCTCATTCGCTGCTGATCCTGGAAGCCAGGAGGATGAATAAAACTCAGTGCTGACCCCCAGTTTCCTTGGAGTGTCTAGTAGGGCTGCAGGCCACTCTGGGAGCCCTGGGAAGAGAAAGGAAGGCACTCATTGTGCAAAACATTTTAGAGGAAAACATACGAGGGTAGGCGACTGATTGAAAGTGAGGGCCAGAGGAAGGCGGTGGAAAAGAAGCCTCATGTGAGTGGTGGGATGGGGGAAGGTGTCACGTGGACAGGACTTGGGGTGTGTGGAGGGAGAAGTGGGTTTTGGGGGGAAGGCGGCAAAGAATTCAGTTTTGGACAGAGTAGAGTATTTGGCACATCCAGATGGAGGTGCTGAGAAGGTACAAGAAGGACCTGAAATAGACTCTTTGGGGAGATGTCAGGGTGGAGGCGGGGGTTTGAGGGTCTTGGAAAGCGTGTTCTTGGAGGCAGTGGCAGAAGCTTTGTGGGAGGATGAACCATAAACCAAGGTCGTAGCCGAGGATGGAGGAGTCAGGGAGGTCACCCAAGGGCAAGGAGCTGAAGAAAACAGAGGAGCTGGTGAGAGAAGCAGAGACAGATGGGCAGGGGTGGGGTGTGGAGCGTTGATGAGGCAGTGTCAGGAGGCAAGAGGGTTTCCAGGGGAGCCTGAGGAGTGGATTAAGACAGGAGGCACGTCACTGCACCTAGCAGTCCAGGCTGAGACCTGTGCGTTCAATTTGGGAAGTCTGCCTTTTTAAAAAATTTATTTATTTTTAATTGAAGGATAATTGCTTTACAGTATTGTGTTGGGTTCTACCATGCATCAACATGAATTAACCATGGATATGTATACATGTCCGGGCTTCCCTGGTGGCTCAGTGGTAAAGAAGTCACCTGCAATGCAGGAGCCTCAGGTCGGGAAGATCCCCTGGAGGAGGGCACAGCAACCCACTCCACTCTTCTTGCCTGGAGAATCCCAGGGACAGAGGAGCCTGGCGGGCTGCAGTCGCGAAGAGTCAGAAACTACTGAAGTGACTTAGCACAGACGCACGCATACATATGTCCCCTCTCTCTTGAACCACTCTCCCACCTTCCTCCCCATCCCACCCCTCTAGGTTGTTTCAGAGCCTTGGTTTGAGCTCCCTGAGTCCTACGGCAAATTTCCATTGGCTGTCTCTTTCACATGTGGTAGCGCACCTGTTTCCTTGCTGCTCCGTCCATTTGTCTCACCTTCTTCCGCCCCCGCCCGCCGTGTCCATAAGTCTGTTCTCTATGTCTGTGTCTCCACTGCTGCCCTGACAGTAGGCTTACTGCTGCCATCTTTCTAGATTCCACATATATGTGTTAGTATACGATGTTTGTTTTTCTCTTTCTGACGTCCTTCACTCTGTATGACAGGCTCTAGGTTGTTGGAAGGAGAGTGGTGAGGATTGATGAACCAGCCGGACACTGATGTGTGTGTTGCTCCTTCCTAGTCACCTTGAGGGGCTGACCTCTCTCAGCATCCGTGTCCTCCTTAGTAAGAGGATATAACACTCTCACAGCCTGGAGGTGCTGTGGGCACTCTGGGGGTGAAAGGAGGCAAGGTGTGCGAACGTTCAGCCCACTTCCTGGTACAGACCCAGTGCCCTTGACAAACTGGAGCTGTTATCATGAACATCGTGACCGGGCTTGTGACTTCCATTTCTTCAGATGTGAAACTGCAAGCAGCCATCCGATGAGTTCTTCTGGAGAAAACTTTCCAGACTGAGAGAACACTCCCTCCCCCAGTAACCAAGATGGTTTCAGAGCAGGAAGATGGGCTAAGTCATTTCTAGCAGGGGGGACACTTTTATACCCCAAATTATGGTGGTCCTTTTAGGGTCATCATTGTTTTTTATCACTGTGCTTTGGGTGCAGATAGTTTCTGCTCTCACAGCATTTATTACCCTTTAGAGTGAGATTTAATTAGGCTTCTCCAGAGTCTGGAGTTTAACATTAGATGCTGTGGAGGAAACAACACATAAAACAGATGCCCGGGGAGTTTTCAGTCTGGATGTGGGGAGCAAGTGGGAGTGAACAGGAGCAGGAACCTATGGCAGCCACATGCAGACAAGCGCGGCGTGTTCCTGCAGGCTGCGGCTCTCAGCACTGAATGGGTTCCGAGCCGAAGCTGGGTCTGGAGCAGGTGGGATCCATTAGGGAACGAGTCCTTGGCCTGATTCCCTTGCATCACTGATTTCTGGGACGTCCCTGGCTGGCTGGCTGGTGTGGTGGTGCTGGGTCCCTCGGCTCTCGGTTTGGTTCACAGTTGTCCTTGGAGCCACTGTGTGCTCCTGGGAGCAGGCAGCCCTGCAGCCGTGTGTGTGTGTGTGTGTGTGTGTGTGTGTGTGTGTGTGTGTACGCACGCGCGCACACACTCAGGTCCAGCCGCCTTCCTGGACGGCCAGCCTCATTTCCTGACGTTCCCCTCAGGCCCTCAAGACTGTCATCACACCAGTGCCCTGTTTTCCCCCCTCCTCTTTGGTTCTCCAAGTCAAACTGCCCTGGACGTGGCGTATTCCATCCCTGTGGGAGTCTTGCCTGCACTATGAGGCCTAAATCTTCCGTGGAGTTAGTTCCTCTTCCCCAAACCGCAGCTCATCTATGATCTGTGCTCTCTCAGGACTCTGTCCTTGTTTTCTCAGTTATTCTCATTTCCCCTTGAATTGGAGTTGGCCGTGGACATGGTTCTCTTCCACATCAGTCTGGAAGGTGCTTAAGAGGAAGCATCATCTGTTTTCTCTGGGGTACCTCTGGCATCTGGTCCATGGGGAATATTCGGGGCACATTTGTTCAGTGGAATTGCTTTGGTCCTTTCCCCTAGAGAACTCTTTAGGCCGACAGTCCCTCTCCAGCCAGATTTGTTCAGAGTCGCTCACCCACGCGGGAGCAAAATAAGCTGAGGCCCCGTCTCGCCCGCTGGGCCCCACGGTGAGCCTGCCAGCCTGAGTGCAGCTGAGTCCTCACAGCTGCCCGGTCACCTGGCACCAGGGCACGACAGGGACGCTCAGCTTCCTGGGTGGGTGTGATGTCGGGTATCCTCCCGGAAAGGCCTGTGGGAGTATGTACGGGTGGTGAGCAGGCTGCTCCACACGTGGCCAGTCTGGAGAGCAACCCTCTTTCTAGAACCACCCTCTGACTATGACTGATGGCCCCCTCGAAGAGTGAGAAAGGCCAAGTCAGTGGAAAGAAAGGATGGAAGGGCTTGATTAGCTTCATTACCTGGATAAACAGGAGCACCATCTGGCTTCACCATGGCCTGTCCACACCCTTCCTTTGCCAGGCCTTGTGTGGGTGCGCACCAGAGTCTCTTCATTGGCAGCAGATGGCAAGAAAGCCACATTCAAGGGTGACACCCTGGCCCTTGCATGCATGGGGACTCAAACTGGGTTGAGGAAGGGGCATCAGGGGCCCGGCCAGGCCTGCTCTGAGCCCCTCTCCTTTCTTCGCAGTACATTTTCACAGATGCTTATGCCCAGTACCTCTGGACCACGTTTGACTTCTGCAACACCATTCAAGGCTTCTCCATCCCATTCCGGGCAGCCGACCTCCTACTGCACAACAAGGCCTCCAACCTTCTCCTGGGCTTTGACAGGTCTCACCCCAACAAGCAGGTAAGAGTGCCTCAGGAACACGGTCAGGTGGTGCTTCCAGAGGCTTCTGTTCTGCCAGGGTGGTTCGCCTGTCCTTTGGGTGACCTGTGCAGCTATCATTTCACTTCCCACGGCTACAGAAAAATGTATCCTCTGGAGCTGTTGGTCTGCGTCCCAGCCAGGGAGGGACACCCCCAGTGGCCCTGCTGGTTATACATCAGGCCCTTCTCACTGCTCGGGCGCGTCTCTTAGGCCTGGGTGTAGATTGGGGCTCTGGAATTGGATCAGAGAGCTAGGTAGAGAAGGCTGATGGCAGTTCTGCTGGGACCTCTTGTTGAATTTCTGTTCTACCTTTCATCATTGACCTTCAGCATACTGCCCATGCCTGTCATTTAGTTGGATGTTGTTGTTGTTTAGTTGCTAAATTTGTCTGACTCTTTTCCAACCCCATGGACTCTAGCCTGCCAGGTTTCTTTGTCCAGACAATAATACTGGAGTGGGTTGCCATTTCCTTCTCCAGCAGTTCTTCCTGGATCAGGGATTGAACCCACGTCTCCTGTATTGCAGGCAGAGTCTTTACCACTGAGCTGCCAGGGAAACACTTATTTGATGTTACCATTAACTTAAATATTCTCTGTGTGTGTTGGGGGGCACACACATATGCATGTAATATAAATGTGTGCATTTTCCTCCTTTAAGCAAATTTGAAGGAAAGGTGAGAGATGCAAAGAAAGCCCAGGTAAGTTTCTGTTTCAAGGTTGAAACTTGCCACGTCAAGAGTATTGATCTGGCGTAATTCTGTGAAACCTGTCAGTCCTGTGGGATTGGGTTCACAATGAGTTTCAAATGGCTGTGCTCAGAGGAACCTTGGAACGATTCTTTTTCTTTGCAGGTTTTAAGCAAAACATGACCTGTTTATCTTCACTTGCCTTAGGAAGTAACCCAAGCTTGGGCTGGGTTGGTTTACCAGAATAGGTGGATGATTGTTCTTTCCGGTCTCCTGTTTCTTACTCCCTGGTGTCCAGGGCCACAGGAACCCTCAGTTTTTGTCTTTTGAAGTCAAGGGGCTTTTGCAGAGATTAGCAAGTCAGTTTCTCCTGGCCAAAGCCTGTATATTCAGGTGATTCCCTTTGGCGCTCAGATTTTGCAGTGAGCCAAAGTACTTTCCATTTAGCTCTCATCACTGTGGCCCACATGGGCTTTTAAGGACAGTTTCTCAGATGAGAGGTACTGGATTTAATCCTTTTGCTTTAACTGCCACTTGAGGATCTTAAGTAACATATAGGATTGGCCAAAAAGTTCATTCCGGTCTTTCTGTAAGCTTGGCACCAAAACCCCAAACGAACTTTTTGGCCAAACCAGTATAATTTCTGATAATCTGTAAAAGGAAGACAAGTCACGTTCATTTTTCCTTCCTTCCGATACGAAGGCATTGAGACCTTAGTAGCTATGGAGAAGGGCCCAGAGGTGATCTGTCCTGTCCTCCCTGCCCTTGCTGGCACGTGGGTAACCGAGCTGGCCGAGGTGATCTTGCCTGTCTTCACAGGTGGCATATGGTGAAGGGTGGGGCTCCATGGTGTGTGCTGGCCAGGCCATTCGGGGATCGTACATTGTGCCTCTTGCATCCTGACCACTTGTCGCTTTGGTCTTTGCAGCTATGGAAATCAGATGACTTTGGCCAGACTTGGATAATGATTCAGGAACATGTGAAGTCCGTTTCCTGGTAAGTCGTGCCATCTAAGAAACTGGAATTACATAGTCTCTTTGCTTCAGCTCTAGCTCCTCCATGCAGGGCAAATCTGCCCTCCTCCAAAAATGGTGGAGCATCTGGTTCAGGAAATACACATTCTGGGCCTGAGCATTAGAACTGCAAGTGTAATAGACTCACCAGAGGGGTGAGGAAGAAAGGTAACTTGTGAGAGGAGTGACAGAGCCTTTGCATTTTCCAGTCCATCAGGGAATCCGGGGGAATCTTGAAGCTCTTGCATGTATTAGAATTTCTAAAATACCTTTATTTTTAGAGCATCAGATCAGAAGTCGGGGTTTTTCTCTTAAAACTCATTTGTTCATTCATAACATTTTTTGAATGCTGAATACAAAGTCTGGCAGATGCTTTAGGATGTAAGAAGCTGAATAATTGATAGATATAGTTATTAAGGAGATTGCAGTTTAGGAGAGAAAGAAAGACATTTTGTGCATATAACAGACATCATGAAAGAAGCACGAAGTCCCACGGACATAGCACGCGAAGCCAGAGGTGGGTCATGGTCCTTCCAGATGGACCATAGACAGCTCCACAGAGGAGGTTACTGTGGTTCCAGGGTGTGGACACCAGGTAGGGTGTGGCCGTGCAGAGGGGTGCAGGACAGGAATTCCAGATGGGCTCAGAATGGCTCACAGCAGAGATGAGGCACTGTGGTGCTTGGGCGGAGAACCCTGGGAGAAGAGAAAAGGATGTTGGTATCAGAATCTGCAGTGCTTGATAAAGGAATTTGGACTGAATTCTGAAAGCAGTGGAAGCCTTTGTCAGTTTTTGAGAAGGAAAGTGAAATTAACATGACTACCCTTTGAGAAGCACAGTTTTTTTGGTTTTAGTCACTTCTAATATTTTACTGTTACAGAGATGGTGTATATAATCTTTTTTTTTTTAAGTTTTTTTTTTGGTGTGTGTTTTGTTGTGTTTTTGTTTTTGTTTTTTGGCGGTGCTTTGCGGCCTGTGGAATCAAAGCTCCCTGACTAGGAATTGAACCTGCCCCCTCGACAGTGAAAGCACGGAGTCTTAACCAGTAGACCACTCTATATAGGGAGCTCCCTATAATCTTGAATTTGTGCATATGCAGACGAATGTGTAGAACAGGTTCCCAGGAGTGGACTTGGAGGGTCTGTGGGAAAAGTCAAGCCGTTCACACCTGGTAAACTTGTTACCACTTGATCTTCGCTGCCCCTAATCAGCTCTGCTCGTATGGTCTTCTCCATTTCCCCTTTTCACTTGCTAGGTGCTGAGGTCAAAAACTGTGAGTCGTCAAGGATTCTCTGTTTGTTTCATGCTTCACATTCAGTCCATCAGGAAAGCCTACTGGCTCTGCCTTCGGTATATATGCAAGGTCCACTCCCCAGCTACTGCTTTACTCCAAACCACTGCTGTCGCTCACTAATCATCCAGCTGGTCTTTCTGCTGCTGCTTTTGTCTTTCTGACATTCTCAGAGCATGGCCATGTTGATCCTGTTAGAAACAGGTCAGATCAGGGGACTGCCCTGGTGGTCCCGTGGTTAAGAATTCGCCTTGCAACATAGGGGAAGTGGGTTCCATCCCTGGTTGGGAAACTAAGATCCCACATGCCGTGGGACAACTAAGCCCGCACACTCTGGAGCCTGCATGCTGCAACTAGAGAGTCCATGTCCTGCAAAGAAAGATCCTACATGATGCATCCTGGATCCTGCATGCTGCAACTAAGACCCGATGCAGTCAAATAAATACATACATAAATATTAAAAAAGAGCCAGGTCAGACCATGTTCTTCTGCTTTGAACCCTTCTATGTGTATCGTTTCTCTCAGATGAAATGCCAGCTCCAGTCCTACCACTGGGTTTCTGCACTTGCTGTTTTCTCTGCCTGGAAAGCTTTTACTGAAGATACATTGCTCCTCTACCTCATTCAAGTCTTCTCAAATGACTAACCTTCTAGATGGGGGTCTTTCCTAAGGATTGTATTAAAATTGCAACTATTCCCCTGTCATTCCCAATCTGCCATAGCCTGATCTGTTCTTTTCTTGCATAGCACTCGTCACATCTTAATACACTCTTATTATGCTTGTTATTTGTATTTCTTCAATAGAATAAAAGTTCCAACAGGGCATGGACTTTTGTCAGTTTTGCACTGATATATCTCCAGTGAATGGATCATTGAGATTGTAACTTTGCCAAACTTCCTATAGAAAGTGTCAAAATTTTCACTCATTCTCAACAACATAGAATTGTGCCTTTCCCCACAGTCAGTCTTTTAATGTGTCAGCTTTTTAATATGCATTTTTCTTTCTTTTTTAAATTTTTTTGTCTTTTGGCCACACCATGTGGCATGTGGAATCTTAGATCCACTATCAGGAATTGAACCCACATAACCTACATTGGAAACACAGAATCCTAACCACTGGACTGCCAGGCCGGTCCCTGCATTTTTCTTTTTATGAGTGAGTTTGAACATCTTTTAACCTAAGTAAGGGTCGCTTTTATTTCTTTTTTGGGGACATGTCTGTTCATGCCCTTAGCCCTTTTTCTATTGGATTGTTCATCTCTTTATTATTGATTTCTAGGAGCTCTTTATATATTTGAGATCGGTCCTTTGTGATTTGAGATAGGTTTTATGGATGTGTTCATTTGTATTTCCCAGTTTGTCCTTTGTCTTTTGACTTTTACGTGTAATTTCATCCTCTTTAAATGTTGCGGTCCATTAGATATGCATCCTGTCTGCATCTTTTTGTTGTCACTTTGAAGAGGAATGTCAATGAGTTCTTATTTCTTCCTTAGTAATCAAGGACAGTGAAGAAGGATAGAGCAGAAAGGGTCCTTAGAACTGAGTATCTTCAGGCTCCAGTGGACTTCCTTGTTACAGAAGGCAGCTGTTTCTGACTTTTTCATTATTTTCCTTGGGCAGAGGTTGTAGAATCAGTGAAATTATAACCACAGTCTCATCCAAGTACAACCTCTATCCAAGGAATACCATTAAAACTTTCTTTTTTTTTGCTTTCTTTGAACTTTAAAGGGACAAATTGCTCTGTTTTCATTTTAGAGAATCATATATTAAGAGGGCAAACCAGCAGGATTATTAAACAGAAAAATTTCATGTCTGGGAATTTGTGTTGTACCTTCTGCCTCTGTGCAGACATGCAGATAGCTATCTTAGGGGAAAGGGCTGGCCTGGCTTATTGTAGATAATTATACGTCTGGAGTCAGGAAATTTCAGGCTGTTTGGGGGGATTTTCGCCTAGGACTCTCCATAATAGGTGAGAGCATAAGCTAACCTCTCAGAGAATAATGGCATACTTTGTTTCACAATGCTTGGCAGCCTGGGAGCAGCAGCAGTGAGGGAAAACCAGTGATTTATGTTATCCAGAGCTGGAGATTGGCAAGACAGGACAGAGGATGAGCCATGGGGCGGGTTTCCGAGATGGCTGCGTGGAGCATCCCAGAAGGTCTGGGAGGCGGGCGAGGCCAGGCGCGGGCCGATGACTGCTCAGAGACAGAGCACGGCTTGGCATTTCCAAATGAGGGTAAAGAGAACAGGAAGTCAGTGTCAGTGAGCCTGGAAAGTGGGAGGCCAGTGACTTCCAAGTACAGGAATTTGTAGGGGGAGCAGCTCTCCGAAATGGGAGGTTCAGATGTGGACTACGAAAGAGAATTGGTGTGAAAGTCACAGCTCTTTCCATCTCTAGCTGTTGGCTGGTGCTCTTGGTTATGAAAGAATAGTAGACATGAGCTCCGCCTCAAGATATCTGAACAAAGGTCCCTTCCTCTCTGCCTTTTTAAAAATATCCTGTGTGTTGTAATTTGCATATCCTTGGGTAGAGGAAGTACTTTAATCAGTATACTTCTAATTGTGGAAAAAAGAACATGTCCTCCCCCACCCCAATCCCACTGTGCACACAGAGCATCTTATGATGAGCATTAGTTTTTCATGTTGAAACAGGCTGGTTTCTCTAGCGTCTGACTAAGACCCCAGATTGTAGGGACAAAGTGAAGTCTTACCCACCCCCCCGCCCCTGCCCCTCGATGGGAAAAAAGGCTGTTTGTTTTTGTTTTCTTCTCTTCTTCCTCTTTTCCTCACTCCTATCTTTTCTTTTCCTTCCCTTCTTGCCTTGGAACTTGCTTTTTTCCCCCTCAGCATGCAGAATCTTTTAGTTGCAGCATGCAAACTCTTGGTTGTGGCATGAGGGATCTAGTTCCCTGACCAGGGCTCGAACCTGGGTCCCCACCCCCCACCCCCGCATTGGGAGCACGGAGTCTTAGTCACTGGATCACCAGGGAAGTCCCTGAAACTTGCTTTTGACAATGCATCTTTGAAGAAATTTCTTGTCATTGCCTTCATTATCCCGAGAGCCATCGTGCCTACAGGACCGTACAAAGGCGTTTGTAATTATTAACGTTAATGAGTCCTTCTGCTTCTCCTTGGGTCACCACTGTATCCTCATGTGCAGCTCTCTTCCAGTTGTTTTGAACTGTTTTTCCTACTTGCTGAAAGGTCCTCCTGGCTTCCATGTTCTTGTGCACGTCAGGAAACTCAGGCAGGTTAGCTGTCCTCCCAGGCTGCTCTTGGGGGCCTTATTTGGGGGCACACCAGTGCAGAGATTCTTCTCCGAGGTAGTATGATATGATCACTCTACAGTTTTCATTTTGGAAGAGCTTCTCTGTAATGTCCATGGATCCTTGCAGCAAAGATCAATGCAGCTAGGAACTCTGTAGGATCAAAAGAAATGTAAGACTTGGCCTTTGAAAGAATATGTACTCTGTCTAGGAAGCTCAGACAGAAACATTATGGTGGACAATGTAATACAGTGGGAAAGAAATGAGGAGACTGTGTATAAAGTGAGGAGTCTTATCCCCAAATCCACTTAATCTAGGTGTCTACCTTTGTTTGAAATTCGTAAAAAAGGCTTGGAATTGAGTGCTACAGAGATGCATTGCTAGTTTTGGGAGAAGGGAGAAGGGCATGGGGCAGGCTTCCTGGAAGAAGGGGACTTGCACTTGACCTCAGAAGACGAGTAGGATTTAGGTGTGCAGATCAGTGTCTATGCGGAGGACATCCGGGCAGAGGGGGATGGTGTGGCAGAAGCACAGAGGGAGGGGTGAGCCCTGCGTTACTGAAGATCAGCATGTGCGAGAACGTTTGTGAAGGAGCCTCTTGGGAGGTGAACCTGCGCTGCTCAGATGAATGCTGGCTGCACATATCTGTGACAACGACGCGGGACAGACAGGAAGGGCAGCGTCCGTTAGACGGGGTGCGGGTCGGGTCACTGGTTCCTCCTGTGGTTTCCTCTAGAGCTGTTCTACTGAGGACGTAGCATCATAGGGACAAACGTTCCTTCATTCCCCTACGGTTCACAGCTTGAGGCCAGAAGCTTGGTGACGGTCTCATGCAAGTGGTTCATTGCTCACTGTTTCTGAAACACTTGCCTTTCACTTTTCCTTCCGTTCCCTTCCCTCCAGCACAGCCCAGGCTTGCCTGGAGCGAAACCCAGGCTGCCTTGTGAACAACTGTCCCAGCAGAAAATACTGTGCACAAGTGACAACTTCTTCCCCTCTTTCCTGAGCCAAGGAGCCACCAAAGGGCCGGGTTTGCGGCACACAGCCGCGAACACTTGCAGCTGCCACCACGGTGGCGCCGAGTCCTCGCTGATGGTCTGCCTGGCAGGACCTCCAAGCCTCACGTGGAGGTGGTGGCACCACTGTGTTTTTTCTTCCAGGGGTATCGATCCCTACGACAAGCCAAACACCATCTACGTGGAACGGCACGAGCCCTCTGGCTATTCCACAGTTTTCCGAAGCACAGACTTCTTCCAGTCTCGGGAGAACCTGGAGGTGATCCTGGAGGGAGTGAGGGACTTCCAGCTGCGGGACAAGTACATGTTTGCCACAAAGGTGGTGGTGAGTTGAAAGCATTAAGGATTAAACTGCTTCTGTGTTTCCTTTCTGAGGCTGGGCATTCTGGGATTGGGCTGGGAGTGGGATTCGTACAAGCAGGCATGTGGAGGTGGGGGTTGATTGTAGGTACTGGACATAGATACACTTTCCCAATGGGCCTGGAAGGTTCTGAACGGTCAAGGAGTGGAAACACTTACATAGCCACTCAGAGGGTCTCTGGGTGCTAGGAATTTGGTCTTTTCCTGGTCTGAGCATCCTTGACAAGCACACATTTCTTTGAAATCCCAATGGAAGAACACAGAAAGGAGGCATGGGGCTAAGTGGCTTTCTTCTTTAATCCCACTACTGGATTCTCTTCGACTCAGGCCGATTTCTTTGGGGGGTTTGGACACATGTTCATCTACATGGCTAATAGCACGTGTAGTCATTGGCTAGTGGGCGTTAATGCTCTAAGAAAAGTAGTAATTAAGCTTCCAGCTGTCAGTAAGTAGCTTAACTCTCAGCCTTTGGGAAAATCTTCTCCTTGATTTTATGTGTTGGAGCCACATGCTGAAATGGAGGGCTTGCTTGTTCAAATCCACAGTTGATTATTTAACGGGACTTGCCTTGCAGCTGTATCAAGTTGCAACCATACTTCCCCTTGAGTAAAGGAAAAAGCGAGGCCTGGCCAAGAGTCAGTTGGGCTGCTCTAGTTGGAGGGAGGTGAGCTCGCTTTCATAATGTTTTGCGGCCGGTGCCTCCTTGACCCCAGGCTCTGACAGTCTCCCCTGTGCCTGGGAGGTCGCCCTTTTCACTGTTAAACCTTAAGGGCTAAAACCAGATGTCATGTTTTCCTCCAGGTTCTCACTTATTTATATGATTGGTAGCTGGCCAGGCAGAAGCAGGTCAGCCCCCTTGGTAGATTCTAGGGTGGAGAGAAGATCTCCCCTAAAGGGAAAGCAGGGAGTGAGGTTGAAACCAGGAGAGAAGAGGAGAGAGGCTGAAGGCCAGAGGGGTTCCCCATTACACACCTTGAACAAGGTTTTTTAAAACCACTAAACTACGGCAGATTTTCTTCTGACAGGCTGTTTGCCTTGAGACACTCCCTGGATCATTTGCTTTTTGCTGTGTCTTTCTCTTACTCACACGTACATGTGCGCATGTATACAGAGCAGCCCAGGAACATTGGGGCTGGGATGTGCTGGGAATACGGAGATGAGAGGTCAGGCCTGAGGATTGATACCTCCAGTTGTGTGGTGCCTCATAGGTCTTTCTTGTTTTAATTTCTTGGGCTTGTGCCTTTTGTGATTTTAATTTCTTAATTTTAAGGCCCAAGGACTGATTCCCAGATTTCTTTTACAGACTGAGTCGAGGCGGGCTGAGGTGGAGCATTAGCTTGCATTCCTTTATCCCTATTATTTCTAGATCTCACACCCAAGAATAAGATAAATCCCATTTGGAGCTTTCTGTACCCTTCTTTCTGACCTCATAGCTCCATCTGTTTTGTAGACATAGCTGCTTTGCTGAGTGCCGATGGTGATTTCTGTACTGTTTCTGGGATCTGTTTCTGGGTGGGATCAGGGGCCATGTCTGTCTGAGCCACACTGATACGGTACCCAGTATTTTGCACATTGCTTGATTTATAATATATGTACAATAGAGTTGAACGAATCTTGGCCTAATTTAGAAAGATTAGGCTACTGGGCTTTTTTACTGGGAGCATGGGATGGGGTTGGGGGACATTAAATTATTGGTTCTTTTATTGTAACTCTCACCTCTTGTGTGTGGCTTGTTGATTTACATGGTATCGGTGGCAAGATTATAGTTGTGTTGACTTCTTCCTTCAGCACATGGACGGACCACCAGATTCCAAGGTCAATGGTGTTAGCTGGAAGCTCCAGGTGAGACGAACTAGGCTCCCACCTGGAAGTGTTGTCTTAGGATCACCTTCGGCAGCATCAGCTGTGGTTAAAAATGCAGATGGCAGGGTTCGCATGCATTTTCTCCCACCACCTCCTCCACCCCCCGAGAATCCCTGGGATGCCCAAGAATCTCCAAAATTTGAGACATTCTTGCCTGAAGGCTTGTATATGCAGGAACTTTCGACAGTAATTATATCATCAAAGGAACCTTTCTCAGTGGATAGGTTGAGAGAAGAGATGCTACTGGCAGTGGATGATAAAATAGGTATTTTTCTGCTTAGTACATTAGAGTCTTAAGCCATAAGGATACATGACTTTGGCTCTGGTTGGATAACTCTATCAGTAGGCATGTTGAGGTCTGCACCTCCACCTCCTTTATTTGGGGTGTTCCCAGCACTGTAGGTGCTGGGTTTGAGGAATTCCGAATGACTTTTATGTTTGTTGTCGTTCCGTCCAACTCTTTGCAACCCCACGGATGCAGCATGCCAGGCTTGTCTGTCCTTCACTATTTCCCGGAGTTTTCTCAAACTCAGATCCATCGAGTCGGTGATGCCGTCCAACTATCTTGTCCTCTGTCGTCCCCTTTCCTCTGTCATCCCCTTCTCCTGCCTTCAATCTTCCCCAGCATCAGGGTCTTTTCCAGTGAGTTTCCAATGAGTCGACTTTAATGTTAACTGGATTCAAATCAAATTAGGAAAGTCAAGGAAGTAACTGCAAAATGACAGAAAATTGCTTTGGGGTGATTAACTCTTTTGCTTTTTTCCAGCACTGTGGCTGATTCCAATTGCTTGCAAGTTAGTGTTTTAGAACACGTTAGGGCAGCCAACTGGGTTCTGGACTGGGGCTGGTTTCCAAGTCTCCAGAACCCCCTGGGGCCCTCCTAGTCTGGCTCTTACTTCAGGAGTGCTTTGTATCTGATGCCTGTCAATTTTTTTTATTCCTTGGTTTTTGACATGAAGTTCATATACTTACTAGTCCACACCAAATGATAGGGCCTGTAATAATTTGTGCAGCCAGCCATGCTTCTCCATCCATGGGATTTTCCAGGCAGGAATACTGGAGTGGGCTGCCATGTTTCCTCCAGGGGGATTTATTTTTTAAGAATATTTATTTACTTGGCTGTTCAGTGCAGCATGTGGGATCTTCCAGTTGCAGGAGGCAGAATCTTTAGCTGTGGCAGAATCTCTAGCTGTGGCATGCAAACTCTTAGTGGTAGCATGTGGGATCCAATTCCCTGACCAGGGATCAAACCTGGGCTCCTGCATTGGAAACATGGAGACTTAGCCACTGGACCACCAAGGAAGTTCCGATGGGGCCTTTAAAGCAACAGAGAGGTACCTCTGCAAAGGGTCCAACATCAGTTTGTGAACTTGGTGAGACACAGCTGGTAGGTGCTTCCTGTAGGTAACAATAGTTACCAGAAAGTTGGAAGGATGTGAGGCTTGGCTGCTTCACTCTCCAGCTTCACTCCCAGCCTCTCCCGAAAGGCAGATTCAGACATTTCTTGCCCAAGGTGCAGCAGTGAGCCAATGCCTGATGCGTGGGCTTGATGGAGTCTCCTCTCTGTTCTTACAGGTGATGGCAGCCACAGCTTGGCAGGATGCAGACAGTGTTCTTGGGCAGGCTTGGCAAACCATGCTGTTTGGTTTTGTCAGTAAAGTTTTATTGAAACACAGGCGTGCTCATTTGCTGTGTGTCGTCCATTGCTGCATTCACGTTAGAGTGGCAGAAATGAATCGTTGCTTAAAGGCAGGATGGCCCACAAAGGCTAAAGTACTGCTGTGAGTACTTTACAGAAAAAGTTTGCCAGCTGCTGTTGTCGAGGCAGGATTCTGTTCCCCTTTCAGTTGGCATTAGGCAGCTAGAATCCTCTAGTTCAGGAGCTTGCACCAGATGAATCTGCAGTATATCCCCCGAGAGTTCAGGTGACAGGCCTCCTTAAGTCGCCGTGCCCTTTACTTGCCGTGGTCTTATCTTTGGGTTGCGTGCGTGTGTGCTCCATTGCCTCAGTCATGTCTGACTTGCGACCCCATGAACTGTAGCCCGCCAGGCTCCTCTGTCCATAGGATTCTCCAGGCAAGAAAACTGGAGTGGGTTGCCATGTCCTCCTCCCGGAGATCTTCCCAGGGATCGAACCTGCATCTCCTGCATTGGCAGGCAGAATCTTTACCACTGAGCCACGTGGGAAGCCCAATCTTTGTGATATTATGGCTAGTTCAGACATCTTGCATGCCACAGATTTCCTGAGAGAACTCAATTGTACTTTCACTGTTCTGACCAACCAACCACTAATTTCACTATTGGAAACCAATTTCTAACCATGGTTATGCTATTTTTAAGTCCCTAATGCTGATAGAGATAACAGAAAAACCTCGTAATTGCCTCATAACTGTGAGCTTCTACATGAGAGATTAACTGACCGCAGTTAAAGTGTGACTTTTAGGATAACCAACCAAAATCCAAGCATTGACAAATTATTTTAATTATGACATTGCTTAAATGTATCTGAACATAGACATAGGTATAAGCACCTAACACTTGTAACTCCATATGCAACAATAAAGTTCAAATGTGTTTATGGATTAAAAGTGACACTATAATACCAATACATTTAAAATTGATTTTTTATAATACCAGTATTGAGATACGATTCATATCCTCTAACATTTACCCTTGTAAAGTGTACAGTTCAGTGATTTTTAGTATGTTCATAAGGTCAGGTATTTCTCACCACCATCTAAATCCAGAGCATTGTCGTGACCTGTGAAGGAAACCTCATACCCACTAGCAGTACTTTCTACTCCTCTCTCCTTCCAGCCCCTGGCAACCAGGAATCTACTCTCTGCCTTATGGATTTGCCTATTCTCAACATTAATATTATTATTATTATTATTTGCTGCACCTTGAGGTATGTGGGATCTTTGTTCCCTGCATTGGAAGTGTTGGGTCTTAACCACTGGACCACCAGGGAAGTCCCCCTTTTAAATTCTTGATATGTTATTTCCTTTAGTTCTTTGACTGTGTTTAGGATAGAGGATTTAGATTTTAGGTCCAGCATCTGGTCTTCCTCAAGAACAGGTTGTATTGACTGTTGTGTGTGTT